CAGAACAGGTGAATCACAGACAGGGACCTGGGTTCTGTCCTGGTGGGTAAAGGGCACTGCCCACTCTGTTCAAAGACTCCCCTTAATAACTCAAGGTTGAGTTCCAGCTGTTCGTTCTCCAATATTAGCTGTTCTCTGATGAGTTCAAACATTTAAGACAACAAAACTTTCTTATTATCTTAAAAACAAAGCTCAGTTCACCTGTAAATGTGCTTCTGGGGTGCTCCACTTTGAACACGTCCCAAATGCTGCGTCACCTACAACCTTATCTTTATTTTTTAGGTCTCTTGAGGAATAAGAATTACAAACTCTTCCTTCGAGCTTCCCTAATTCATCTGCATTTCAGATCTCTGTCCTAATTTGCTCCGACTTGTTCAAGACAATATTTCACGAGCCTCCCCCTTGAACGACTCAGGAGGCATCACCCACAGGCTGGAGGCCCCAGCCCGCCCCTCCCCCCGCACTTTGCACACACACTGTACTGGGCGCACCTTTGCTGGCTGTGTGCTCCCCAGGGCAGCAAGCCATTCAATTTACCTTTTAGATCTGTGCCTCTAGGCACGATGACAGTGAGGGTCCACGGGTCGCCTCCTTGTGGCTGTTGGCCCACTTAACTTTAGAAAAAAATCCCTTCAATAAAATCAAACAGCAGTGCTTTATAGGTCTGTTCCAAAACTGAATGTGGGAAATGAAAATAAAACATATGTTTCTATTACAAAGGAATAAAAGCCATTGCTACTGAAAACAACTTCACACACCCCAAGAACAATCAAGACAACGGAAGCCGTAAAACCAGCACTAGCAAAGGGTGACACTTGATAGTCAATCTTGCCCCAAATGTGCTGAATTCTCCTTTTCTCTGTCAAAGCCAGAGCACAGAACCTATTACTGCAAGTTAATCTTCTGAAGTGGATGCGATTTAATCCAATTCAACACATCTATATGTGTGTACTTGCCTGGCTGTGTTGCTGGCTTAGAGTGTGAGCTGGCTGCATTAAGACTGTGTCTATGCGGCCAAATGCTTCCAAATGTACTGTACAATTTGCTTACAGAAGCTGGAGGTGCCGAGACAAAGCGAGCACGAGAGGCAGCACAGGGCAGAGCACAGATCAGACTCCTGAAAACCACGTCTTTCCACACAGTACCTATGGCCTGCTACCTTTCCGTGTCCAAGAACACCTGAGAATGTGGACAGGTGCATTTACACACGTCAACTGCTCCCTAACCCCAAAGAACAAATGGTGGCTTTGCGGTAGGGCAAGCTGGCAGATGCCCCCGACCCCAGCCCAGAACCATACACACCTGTGGTGTTCCACCTGAAGGGAACACGCTGGATCCAATGATGAGGCATCAGAGAAAGGGACCTTCTCAAAACAACAGGTAGGTCCCCCGCATGCACAGCTAGGCCAGGAGAAGGAAAGGCGGATGCCTCATTCCAGGTTAAGGACAACTAAAGGACCTGCCACAGCAACAAGGACCGTGGACGAGGTCCATGTCTAGTGAGGCTGAGAACAACCCAGTCGACCCGCCACCGAGCAGCAGAGCTGGAACGTACAGAACCTGAGCCCAGAGCTCGTTCTGAGCTGCTGGACCTCCAGGCTTAGGGGCAAACACGCCTAACAACCACACATCATAAAAATAGCTTCATTTTTTGTCTTAAGCATTTTTTCAACTAAAGCTTATATACTCCATTGTGAGAAATAGCATAGTTGGTACTTAATCTTCATAGGTTTACCGTTTACAGTTTTAAGTACACAATAATACATACTAATAATTAATGATTAATAATTTAGAAATAAAATAATTAATAATTAAAGATTCATGAACTGAAAAACTTTGCAAAGAAACTGAGTCAAAAAATAAAACTAGCTGGGTGTGGTGGCACATAGCTGTAAACTCACTGGCCCTCGAGGCTGAGGCAGGAGGATCATGAGTTCAAAGCCAGCCTCAGCAAAAGTAAGGCACTAAGCAACTCAGTGAGACCCTGTCTCTAAATAAAATATAAATAGGGCTGGGATGTGGCTCAGTGATTAAGAGCGCTGAGTTCAATCCCTGGTACCCAAAATAAAAAAACAAATGAACAGAACCATATGTGTTATGTTACTTATGAAGGAAAAAAAGCACAGCGAGTGAGTAAACTGTGTCAACCATCCATTGTGGGTGTGCAAACGAGGAATATTCTGGCTTTGTATTGGAGAGAATATAATCTGCCTAAAAGCCTCTGGTGGCAGTGGAAGGGAATTAACAGTGAAACCAGTGAATTCAACAAGGAGTCAGGCATTCTCAGCGAAATACCAGAGCTCGACCTGCTTGTGCCTGGGCGATACACAGGTACCCAGGAATCCAGGCAAACTCTGTAAATGAGGAGGCCCAGCAACCGTTCATTTCTCCTAAACTGCTGTGAGTTTGAGCTGGAAGAAGCACCCCTGCATTCCTTTTCCACCCCTATGCAGCAGCTATAAGATGAAACCAATCATCAGAGAAAACCCTGAGACATAATGAAGTGAGAGTGGCGGGGGGGGGGGGGGGGGGGGGGGGGGGCAGGGGGCGGAGCGCGCACACACGCACATGCAAAAACACGGCCACTGTGAGGAGAGGAGTGGAACCAACTCTCCACTGCAGCTACCAATGCTCAAAGTTTCAAAGACTCGAACTGAAGTAAGTTTCAATACACACATGCTCAAAATTATATCCCAAACACAAACACACACTTCCAGTCTAATTACTCATGTTTTAGAAATACTGAGCTTCTTCTGAATGCCAGAGATCAATACGGTCCTAGGAGACCAACACAGCACAAGTCCACAGATCCAGCGCTGAATAAATTTTCCAAAGTTTCAGCCTTCTTTTGGTTGCGATTGGATGGGTCCAGATGACCCATCAATTAATATGAGATGTGATAAATCAGATGGTATCAATAACTGTGAAGAAAAATGAAGCAGGACCAGAACAGAGAATGACAGGAAGATGAAGTCTCGACTGAAGTGGTCTCAGACATCTTCTCCTAGGAAAAGCCATCTGGGCAAAGACCACATGGAGCCAGAAACTGGGCCATGTGGTCATTTACAGATGCGTGGAGAACTGCACCCCCAGTCTGGTCAAGTCCTGCAGTCAGAACATGCCCGCAGGCTGCTAACGGCTGTGAGAGGTGCCCAAGTAGATGGGGCCAGGAGAGGACTCAGGGCACGGGCACCATGCTTCCTGTCCTGGTCAGCATCACAGGCTACCAGGTGGAAGGGTGGCACTAGAGAAGCAAGAATAGAGCCAAGAGTAGCCACGGGCCCTTATAATAGCACAGGCCAAAACTGTTAGCAATCTGGTCAGAGTGATCTCAGTGGACATCAAGGAGGACATTGTTAGATTCTGGCCTTATTTTGAAAATACAGCCGATGGCACTGCTGAAGGACTGAATGCACGGATTTGAGTAAAAAATAAGAAACAAGGCCTCCACGTTCTTCACCTGATGACCGCTCGTGACATTCACCGAAAGAATAAGAGTAGGGATGGTGCTGAATCAAGAGACTGTTTGGCTACACCATAGATTTCAGGAGCCTAGTAGTCATCAAAAAGGAGGTGGACAGCAAGCAGCCGCATGCCCAGGCCTGGGGAGGAGTGTTAGTGAACCTGACAGAGACACAGGCAAGACTCAAGAGGAACTGAAAGAGAGACAGACAGACAGAGAGTGTGTGTGTGTGTGTGTGTGTGTGTGTGTGTGTTGAAGACTGAACACAGGACACACCAAGGATAAGATGGGGAAGAGTAACACAAAGGGAAATCTGTTTTGTTCCCCCCCCCCCAATAAAATAATAAGCCCAAGGCGAAGGGGGTTAGCCCAGAGCACTGTAGAGAAAACGCCGAGATGGCCACTGCTAACTGGAATTATTTCCTCCCGGATTTTTTGCTAGACATTTACATTCTTTGTTAAAACCCAGGTCACTGTTGCTTGCTTGTTTTAACACAAGATAACGCTGACCTGTCAGGATGACAGTCACAGAATTCAGACCACATTTGTTTGTGTGTTCTGACTTGTGTTCTGTCATAACAAGCTCCACTCGGTGGCTCATCCGCCCGCCAACACCATGCCCAACACTGTACCCCAGCCCCTCAAGGGCTATGTGGGCACCTTTACCTAGACTTCTCTTGGCACATTTCTAAACCGGACTCCCCTCTTTTACAAAGCAACACCTCAAGGGTCTAGCTAAGTCACCCATGCAGAAAAGGCTCCGACTGAAAGTGGCCTCCCTTCAGCTTTACAGCGCCCACTCATCGGGGACCCTGGATGCTGGGGAGGTGGTGGTGGGTAGACCAGCAAGGCCTTTAGATGCTTTACATCCTACAGTGTGTCCTGGGGGAAGACTTTAAAGATAAAATTTCAGATGATGAATAGTCATGGGAGTAACACAACCAGGAGGAGGAGAGAAGGGAGAGGGGAGCCTTGAGACTCGGCCTCAGGGCAGGAAAAGAGGTGTGCACACCCCTAGGGAAGGGCAGCCAGGCAGGAGAAACAGTCACAGCAGGACAGCAGGATGCGGGCAGGCAGGCAGGGGCAGCATGGCTGGCCAAGCAGCACAGGAGGGCCAGCCTTAGGCGACCTCAGGGGCCACAGTGACGGATCTCCACTGATTTCCAGCTGTAGTAAGACGTCACCTTTAAGTCACATGAAGAAGCACAACACAATCTGATGTGGAATCACAGACACTATGGCAGTTATTGAGAGACTAGCAGGAGTTCGGAGGTTGGAATGTTCCCAGCCCAGAGCTGACAGTGGCTTGAGTCAGCATTTCAGCAACAGTGGTGCTAGGGTCCAGGCACAGTATGTTCTGTAGGTGACAGTGACAGCACTTGCTCGTGGACCTCAATGAACAAGACCCAGCACAGGTGACTTCCAGCCACACCAGGGCCCTGCCCGGTATTCACCCACTGGGCTGTGCCCGAGGGGGCACGCACAGGTACCTGCAGAACCCACAGAGAAACATAAGACAGCTTACAGTCTCACTTACCCAAATTGGGGTCAGTGGCCTGACGTTTCTTGATTTTAGCTTCAGAAATGGCAGAATAATAGGCACAAGTCATCTTGATCAGCCAGGTCGCTCGAACCATTGGTACTGAATATTTAGCTAAATACGCAAAAACATCCTCCTTTTTACTAAGGATGGGAACCTAAAAAGAAATGACATAGTTATGACAATAACATACTGTACCATTAATCGACATACTTACAGAGGGGCTGGGAATTACCTACTGCTGTAAGAGCATTTCTGATGAATTTTTAAATGGTGTATTCAATTTTTTAAAAAGGAACATTTTAAGCCAATTTTCATTAAGAAAAAAATCAAAACCGTTTAGTACAATGGCAAAATAGTTCCATTCGTTGTGCTTTCTTGTTTACAAAACAAATTATCCTAAAACTTTCAGATGCTGAAGCTATTCAGCCTCTGAAAAAAGGAAAAAATAATTCCATGACATTCTTCCCAAAAAATTCTCTCAAAATTGGAAGGGACAGACCACGAGTAAAGTTGTTCCCACTCTGTTTTTTATCCAGGGGACACTTTTTTTATATAAAGCTTTCTAACTGCAACATTTTAAAAGAGTAACAATTTCCAGAAAGCATTTAAAAATGTCTTTAGTCCAATATTTAAAAGAGAGGCTAAGATGATGGATCAGTAAATCTGCTGATGAACACTGGGCTAGAAATAGCTGGGTAATTAATTCAGTGCTTGGAAGTGGGCACTTGAGGCAGTTAATGATTTCTCGCACACCACAGAGGTACCGTTTAGCAGATTAGTATCCTGATGAAGCATTGAATGGTTGGAAAGAGTTAATTCATTCTCCTAGAGTACCTCATAAATACCAAGGAATTGCCTATTTACCTACATAATCTACTCCTCTGGTGAACAGAGAGAACAGGGGACAGAGTGCGTCAGCCAGCCATCATGCTGCAGGCCAGGGTCAGCGAGGCCCAAGGGTGCACAGCCCCAGCAGGCATGGCCAGGCCACCTCATCTCCCTCCCTGGGCCCTGCCTGCTGGGTTGAGCTCCTCCCTCAGACTCCTCCCTGCCAATTTCTAAAAGCCCCAAACCTATTCCCTCCAATGCCTTGCCCTTCCAAAGATTTCCCCATGCCAGCCAAGGTGTTCTCGGGCAGTGCACTTGCCCCTGAACTCAGGGGATCCTGGACACCACAACCACAGATACCAAGAGTCCTGATCTCTTTGCCCCAAACTCTCACTTGAATTTATGCTGAAAAGCAAGGCTTGGACCAGCCCACAGCACAACCTGCTGCTCCTGGTCTGCCAAACACATAGCAGGCAGAGGGTTTTCTACATCCTATGCTATAAACCTGACCCTTCACACAGTTCCCAGGAAGTGTGAGTCTAGAACAAAAGATGAGTATTTTTCGTACATGGCCCTGAAACACAATGACCATGTCACCTGGTCTCACTAAAGACAACCCGGCTGTTCTGGTTCTGGAGGGAGAGCCATCCAGGCTGCGCAACGGGCCCGGGGCATCCAGCCCTGGATTTCATGGGCCACTGCAGAGACTTGTGATAACAGAGAGATGCTGCCCTGGCACTGACTTCAGAACACAATCCATGACAGGCACACACAACATGCACAGGAACACGGAAGGCTCGTGGGCCAAAGCTGCAAGCCCTCCTCCCTGCAGACCACAGCGAGGCACCGCAATGAGACACTTCCTCAGCTTACATGGCATTTCTGTCATGGAGCACAAGGCTTTGGTTTAGTGGCCACCATGTAAGTCAGGGACAAGAAAAGCACAGTCCCAGTCCCGAATGCCTGCTTTTCACCAGAGCACACGGGCGGTGCCAGCAGCCTGGGCACCTAGCTGTGCCGGTAAGGATACAACACTCGGATGCCAAAAGTCACAAGACCAGGGCCTGCAACAGACAAATACAGAGAAAGCCCTCCACCAGCACCATCCTCCTCAATGCCTACAGGATTCCTACTGAACCCCAACTGTTAGGAAGGAAAAAATAAAACACTTAAACACCTGAAATGTTTCGACGACACTGCAAACAAAACTGAGCCGTGGATCGCACATGAGCACACGAGGCAGACTCCAGATCACTGCCAGGGCCAGCAGAACCCTAAGAACCGCTGCCCTTGGATCTGGGCGTCAGCATTCAGAAGAGCATGCACGAAGGAAGCTGTTTAATTAATGAAGAAGCCACGGCCAGGCCAACTCTGGAGGGAAACGTGTTTAGGCTGTGACTTCCCTACAGTGATGGATTCCGTGTTTTCCATAGAGAAACCCCCAGAATTTAGCTTGCTAGCTGAATCTGGAAACCCCTGAACCACAGTGTGGTCCTTAAATCGAGCTGGAGCTGCATCAAGATGGACAAGAAATCCAGACATCTGGTGCGAGCTCCTTCGGTCTCACAGTACTGTCCTCCGGCCTCCTCAAACCTGGATGCTCACCCACACCAGCATCTCCCAGTGGCTAAGTGGGATGGAGGCAAAGGGGACCCACAGACCCCAGGCATGGGGTCCCTTGACATGAATAGGGGAGAATCAGAAACCAGGGAGCTGTTCTGGCCCTGGAAGAAGGTCCCGGCTGCTGGAAGCTCCATTCCTGAATCAAATGCCCACTGTGATTAAAGGAAAAGCCCTTCACGGCTTCTCTGTGGCTGGACACTGTAAGTACTGTGGAGCTTTCAGAGTGATAAAAGACTGGCCCAGAGTTGTGACCACCCCTACAGGAGCCTGAACCTGGCTAAGGTGCCCAGGATCTGGGCAGGTAAATCAAGGTTTGGGGCCTGAAGCCATTGCAAAGGTAAATAAATACCAAACGTGAAAGAGGTCCTGGAGGTTCCACTAGGAGGAACACACAGAGAATGGATCCTTCAGCCACCTTGGGAAAAGGACATGCTGGAAAGGGGAAGGACTCCCGAAAGGCTGGGAAACAAACGTGCTTCAAGGTACGCTGGATGGTTTTATAAAGAAAACAGGCACGTTTGCGAAGAATGAGCGTCAGGGCTTACCTGAGGGACACCTGACTTGGCCAGAGGCAGCTCCTAATGAAGAGAGAAGAACAGTGACTAACACACTGCACCAGAGCTGTCTCCCTCCTGAAGGACCAGCGAGCGTGTCCTGCACCCCAAAAGCAAGGGCAGCAGCTCCACATCAGTATTCGCTTTGGGGAAGCATCCGAAACCTGCACTCACAAGCTCACGGCAAGGGAAAACCTAAGGAGGCCAGCTAGCAACACGGAGAAGGTGAGCTGCTCTCACCCTCCATCGGCTCCCAAAGGAACCCCTTCTGCGGCTTCCCACTAGCAATCCACAGGCCTCGGAGGAGAACTACTGAGTGGCTCGGCCAGCTGAGACAGCGGCACTATCTTCCAAGAGTTGCTTTTCAGAAAACTCACAAGTGCACAAAGGAGCTCTCCACACCCTGGTCCTGTGCCAGGTGGACATGAACACATGATCCTACAAACAGAAGACAGTGGCCAATAACCAGAGGGCTTCAGGTAGGGGAGAAACAACCAATGGCCTTGTTCCAAAGCTGTCCAGGGAGTCAGATCAAGACTGCAAGGGAGATCTCCAACTTCTTTTCTAAACTGCAAAGGACGTTTCTGTATTATTTGAACTACAAGATTACGGAATCCGTGAATAGATTTCCCACTTGAAAATGATCAAAGGCAAAGGATTTTAAAGAGCCTCCCCTCCCCCTGCCAAAAAAAAAAAAAAAAAAATCTGAAGCTATAAATAAACCTGCCCGTTTTGTTCAAAAACTCTTTCAACAAACAAGCACACATACAATCATAATCTCTCTCACACTGGGTAGGACAGACACTTGGCTTAAAGCATTTGCATAGGTATTTTTAACAATGAGGCAATAACCTCAAAGCAAGGATCTTTCTATCGAATCCCGAACATTTTGACCCAAGGAAACTAAAAATACAATAGAAAAAAAGGAGAAGCATTATTGCCTATTCTTGGTTTAGAAATCTTGTCAACCTCAAGTCCACATAAACTGCTCGATGTGTGGAGGGTGTGGGTTACAGGTGTCCTGGGCTCCACCTGTGGGCAGCACGTCCCTGGGCCACACACCTTCGGCCCAGGCATTAGCTGTGAGGAGTTGGGGAAAAAATATGTACTAGGCATCATCTCAGAAAGCTTCATCTTCACAAGACCATAATTAATCATAACGAGGTTAAGAAATACTTAATACCTTTTTTGCCAAAATAGCAAGTGGTTTATTTCCTGCTAGGTCAGAGAACCAACTATGAATTGCACTCTGAGATCGAGCAGTAACCAGCCAATAATTATCTTTAGCATTAACTTGGGGTTTCTTCTTTCCGGTATCCTGGAAAGTGTTAAGCTTTAGTTTCTCAGCTAATATGCTGCTGAAATAAGCTCCGATCTGTGGAAAGAAGACAAAAGAAAACAGGAGGTGTAAAGACAATAAAGCAAGGCTGTACATTCTACACATTTTTACCTTTACTGTTTTAATCGAAAATCTTCATATAGTCCTTCAGAAAATAAAATGTTGATTTACACCCTTAAAGTCAAAGAGTTGTGATTGCCATAAGCTAACGCAATGCAAAAACCCACCCAGCACCTCTGTTCCACAATTAACAAGTAGTCCACAGCAAAAAGAGAAGCCTTCGAAGACCTCTGGTAGGACAAAACGACAGCGTTCTCCACTCCAATGCCTTGGGGCAGGCGAGGTCTCCCTGCGAGGGGAAGGGAGCGAGCCTGGCATTGATTGGTGATGATTCCTTTGCTGGTTTCATGATACATCACATATTTTGTAAAAGGAAATTCTGCTTATACTTGATGATTTAAAAAAAAACCTGAAATAAACTTAATTTACTTAAATGCAAATTTGCAAAAAATTTAATTAGGTATTCAACATTTCTGATGGGCCTGTCAATTCCACCAGCATTAGTCCTCAGGGGATGCTAGTGCCACCTGCTCAGGACGTGGCATATGGAGCTTCTGCAAGCTACCTGATCACTTTCCTATTGTCCACACACTAAGGTGGAAAAAGGGACAGGAAGGAAGAGAGGAAGGGAATGGAGTCGTGTGCGACAACTGGGTGAATTACAGAGAGCTTACTAGAATTTCCAGGAATCCTTTACAAGCATCATATTTCACCCCCAGAGAATTCTGATATATGATACAGTTAATAATTCCTAATAAATGTCCCCAATAAAGTTAGCAAACAGTGCAACTACAAGGAAGATAAAATCTCCACCATGGTGACGCACAACAAGCATCACCTCAGAAACACTCATGAGGCAATAAGCAGTCTATCACTGGGGAATCGGCCATCAGCCACTAGCCAAGTTCACCTACCAGCAGGAAGCGCTGGCACGACATGTTCTGAATGTGAACTGGCCTTCTGCAGTCTTGTGACTAATGTAGTATAAAAAGTCTGTTTTGGTGAGTTGGTGGTAAAAACTAGAATGAGTAGAAATATAAGCCTGAGCTTTTCTTAAAACAACTTCCCTGCAGTTGTCCTGTTGTAAGCCAATGTTTGCAGAACTTCCATTGAATACCTTAAGTGCAAAACTGTAGCAGAACCAGTTGTTTGTAAACAAGCCACCAATAGCAGCTTAATATTAAATCTCCCAATTGATATTTAGTCTTTGCACCAAGGGCTCCAAACAATGTGCATTTTAATCCCAAAAAAGGTTTAAAAATTTTTTAAAGTAGTCTAAGCAATCCATTGTTTCAATTAAACCCTTGTCTATGTACTTGACAGAGCAATGGAACATGGTGAATGCCTGGTTAATTCCTGCTAAAAATTTAGTGGAGAAATTCATACTACAAACAAAGTCAAAATTGCAAAGTAAGCAAAAAAGAAGAAAATGCACATTAGGTTCCAAAATGATCAAAGCATGATGATAACATTTAATTTCACTGTAACAGCAACATATTGACATTATTCAGAAATCTGAAAACATATTAAAAAGAGCTTCGGTTCTCAAATCCCAATGCTTACCTCTAAGTGATCAACTTGATAAGCTTATGTGTGGTTCCAAGGCTTCCTTAAGTGACTACACATGAGCAGACACTATTTCTGTCTCTTTCTTATGCGTCTGGCTCATTATGCGCACACAGTACAAGCCTTCCGGGTCTGTATACACAGAGCTTCTTCACTTTTTTAAATAGATAAACCCACAAAGTACATTGTTGTGTATCACCATTCAAGCAATCAAGCTACTGTTGATGGACCTGCTCCAAAACTGTGCTATTATGACTTGTGTTAATGTGGATGGCCTTGTGTGCCTGTTACTTCAAACATGTGCAGGTACAGATTTAAGATAAATTTCCAGGGTTCCAGGATTCAGCATTGTGAAGTTCTGCCAATTTGCCCTCTCAAGGATTTTTGCCAATTTATAGTCTTTCAAACAAAGTAAAAGTTAAATTTAACACTTGCTTCCACCCACCCAAACCTAGATGGAAAATAATTCATTTGATAAGAATATGGGGAAAAATTTAGAAGCTATGCTACCATTCACATATTTCATATTTATGAAATCAAATTCTTCTCAGAAGTCCTGTGTCCTTAAACAACCATCAAGAAGAATGCTAGCAGAAGTTTTCACGGATGTTACCTTTGTGTGTTCAGTTATTTGAGTTGACATAAAACTCAATACTGAGCACAACTCAGCAGCTCACATCAGGAGACAGAAAGCATGGGTACTTTCTGTCATGAACTAAACAGTGTCCTCCAAAATTCACACACAGGAGCCCCAGTCCCCAAGGTCACTTGATTTAAGATGGGGGCACAAGGGATAACTAAGTTTAATAAGGCCACAGGATGAAGCCCTGATGAACATGAATGAGGTGACAGGGACCACACGAGGGCGGCTGGAGGTGGCCAGAGGAGGCCACAGGAGAAGCAGACCTGCACCTCAACTGGACCCCAGCTGGACCCCAGCCTTCTGCAAGGAGATGAGCTTCTCTGTATCTGCCCCAAGCTCATGTGTGTCATCACAGAAGCAGAGAATGCTCCCTCGAACTCAAGAGATGTGCTTCTGAGAACTGACCCTAAAGAACAAAAGCCACCTCTCAAGTGTGACTACAACCTCTTTATAGACACAGGCTGACCACTGTGTGTACAGGTGTCAATTAATTATAGCTCACAAATTAGGAATGCCATCCACCCACAAGTTATTGTTGTGAATACTTTAGTCAAAAGGCAGAGAGCCTACAAAATAACGCTTCGTATTATAAAAGTAGATCAGTTAGGGCTGGGGTCGGAGCACCTGGCTAGCATGTGCAAGGCCAAGGCTTTGATACCCAGCACCACAAAAGAGAAAGCTAAAAGACAGAACTCGCTTTCAAAAAGTGGATTAGCTGAGGAACAAGAAAACATTCAGGAGACAGGGGTGAGGCTGCACAACCAGACACCTAAAAACAGTGAATGCAAGTGTTACACACATCTGACCCCAAGCCAAAACACAACATAAATCGCATACAGCTAACTGTACATCACGTGGATAAAGACTGGAAAAAGAAAACTCAAAATCAACGTGCTTGGTCAGTATAGTATGCAGAAGATGCATCGATTCTCTTTCACATCTCTGAAATGATATTTCAGTTGACAGCAAACTGTCAATTATTTATGTACATACAGATACAGGTGGATGCAATAAAAAGAAATCCAGAATAAGACAAACTATTTGCATGCATATCTCTAGAAAAGGAACTATAGAAATTTACCTGTATACATTTTTAAATTTTTTGTATTATGCCTTTAATTTTATAACAGTGAAGGTATTTTAATACCCAAACAATAATAACTCAAAAAGGACTTTTTCTAAAAAATTGATTCCTAAAGAAAACAAAAACAAACAATTCTATTTGTACACCTAATTGATAACATCACAGAAAGACATTCAATTCAAGAAACTTTTTTTTTAATTTATTTTTTAGTTGTAGTTGGACACAATACCTATATTTTACTTATTTATTTTTATGTAGTGCTGAGGATCAAACCCAGGGTCTCACAACACGTGCTAGGCGAGTGCTCTACTGCTGAGCCACAGCACCAGCCCAATTCAAGAAACTTTTGAAAACAACATTCTGATTATATCGGTATTGTATCTGTGTGATTGTGTATGTGTACGTGTGTGTGTGTGTTTTTTTAAAGGGTGCTGGGAGCTTGAACCTCAAGGTGCTTAACCACTGTGCTACATCCCCAGCCCTTTTTATTTTTTTATTTTGAGATAGGGAGTGGCTAAGTTGCTAAGGCTGCCCTCAAACTTGCAATCCTCCTGCTCAGTCTCCCAAGCTGCTGGGATTACAGGCAGATGTCACCATGCCCAGCCTGACTACATATTTTTGATGAAAGTTAGTCTAAGGACAAAATTATTATTTTAAAAAATCATAGATTTTATATAGTAACTTTGTTGCTAGAGTGGCATTGGAATAGTTTATGCTGAAATCTTATGTATACAAAGAGCAAACAAATATTTTGATATTGCAGAGAGCCAGGTTCTCAGCTGGGGAGAACACACAAAGATGGAACAGGAAAAGAGGGAAACACCGCGTGGCGTTGGGCCAGAAATGGCAACAGTAGTAGGCAGACAAGACAGACAGACAGACAGATCTCTGCTTTCCTCTCTGCCACGGAAAGTGAAAGCGGCCAGGAGGAAGGCCCCTCCAGCAGGGCCGCCTCGAGGCACCCAGGGCTGGGGCAGGAGAGAACAAGGCGAGCCTGGAACCCGCTGTCGTCCCAGGGAGAAGGAGGTGACGGGACCGTCAGCCAAGGGCCAGAGTAAAGGGGCCCTAACTGGCCACACGTGGGACCATCTAAGCGTTCAAAAGAAATGAAGTAATAAATCCCAGCGCAATTAATTTTAAAAAATAATAATAAAAAATTTTTAAAAAGGAATCCATGGGTGATACAAAAAGAATCCAAGTGATCCTAAAACAGTGGGAGGTAAAGGAAGCTCTTCTTCACCAAAGAACGCAACCAATACCGCTGAGGAACGATCAGAAACCAGCATTTAGTAACCCTCAGCAAAAGAAATCCCTCAACTGGAATCATCAGGGATGCTGAAATCACCAGGTGGAATTCTACCTGACGGTGAGAATGGGATATTCATAGGGCCTCTGAGTACCACGGGGTAGGAGCTGGGGGGTCTGGGGCAGCACGGGGCTCAATCCCTGCAAGGAGGGAGGAAGGAAGGCGGGGTGGAGGGTGGGGGGAGAGGAAGGATAGGAGGGAAGAAGGAGGGAGGGAGGGAGGAGGAGGGGAGGGAGGAGGAATGGAAGGAGGGAGGAGGAGGAAGGGAAGGAGGGAGGAGGAGGAAGGGAAGGAGGGAGGAGGAGGAAGGGAAGGAGGAGGTAGGGAGGGAGGAAGAAGGGGAAGAGGAAGAGGAGAGGGAGGGAGGAGGAGGGAGGGAGGAGGTAGGGAGGGAGAGAGAAGGAAAGGGAAGAGGAGGAGGAGGAGGAGGAAGGGAGGGAGGGAGGGAAGAGGAAGGGGAAGAGGAGGAGGAGGAGGGAGGGAGGAAGAAGAGAGGAGGAGGGAGGGAGGAGGAAGGGGAGGAGGAGGAGGGAGGGAGGAGGAAGGGGAGGAAGAGGGAGGGAGGAGGAAGGGAAGGAGGAGGGAGGGAGGAGGGAGAGAGGGAAGAAGAAGGGGAAGAGGAGAAGGAGGAGGAGGGAGGGAGGAAGGGAAGAGGAGGATGGGAGGGTGGAGGAAGGGAGGAGGAGGTAGGGAGGGTGGAGAAAGGGAGGAGGAGGTAGGGAGGGAAGGGAAGGCACCACAGGTAGAGATCTGTAGGTCACTAAGAGGAGAAACTGCCACTTTATGAGGTAGGAGGGTGACAGGCGTGCCCTTCGCCAAGTGATCAGACTTCGTGTGACCTGTACCAGGGCTAACTGGCCGCACCTGCCTCCTGACAAGACACAATGCTGCCTCCTTTCCAAAAAGGTCCAACCCAAATTCTGCCATGGGAAAACCAAACAGATCTCAAGTGCAGCCTGGACTGCAAGATACTGGCCTCTCAGGCCGTCTGTCTATGATGACATCAGAAAGGCCTTAAGGAGACCTGGGAGGATGGAGAGGGAACTACCAGACTCAGCATGGCAACCCCCCACATCAGTGCTGACCCTGTCTGACCCAGGGCAGCGCAGCCCGCAGGAGGGCATGCTAAACCTGGACTGGCTTGAGCAGCACCAACTTGGCAAATCAAAAGCCCCATCACAAACCCACTTTGCCAGTGGTCCCAGGGGAGGGGCCGGCAGTACCTTTGACGGGTTGATCACAATGTTCCTGGCCGAGCCGTGCTCATCCCCAGTGAAGGCTGGCTGGTTGCTGAAGCCTTGCTTTACATTCACAGCAGTCAGTTCATCCTACAGAAAGAAGGCGCAAGTTAAGCAGGAGGAAGGAGAGCTGGACCTAACCCAGTCGCACCGCGGGTTTGCTGCCCACTGTGAGAAGGAAGGGTGGGAAGGACGTGGGACAGCCACCAGAGTGCAGTTGCTGACATGCAAAAGCCAGGGCACAGGGGTGGAGAGTGAAAGCCACTCTGGCACTTGCCAATGCCTGTCAACGCCAGGCTAGACACACTGGTGATCCTCATCTCAGTCTCCTAACTTTTCCGGAAGTCTGAAATTTTTTAACTTCTAAATTATAAAGAAAAAAAAATGAGCAACCCCCCTCCCACACACACCAAAACAAAATCATTTGTTGTTGTTGTTGCTTTGCATACCAGGGATTGAACTTAGAGGCACTCGACCACTGAGCCACATCCCTAGCACTATTTTGTATTTTATTTAGAGACAGGGTCTCACTGAGTTGCTAAGCACCTCACCATTACTGAGACCGGTCTCCTCCTTGCAATCCTCCTGTGTCAGCCTCCTGAGCTGCTGGCATCCCAGGTGTGCGCCAGTGGTAGCGCACAAAATCCTTTTTGACCTGCAATGGCACTAGAGAACCTGCAGCTTGACTCACTCCCTCGCCAGCCCCCCTTCTGTGTGAAGCCTGGCTCACCCAGCTTACCCACGACCCCATGCTGTATGACTAGAACCTACCCACATCACAACCACAGTCAGAGGGAGGCTCAGAGCTCAGCAAAGTTCTTTAAAACATTTGGCTCACTTGCTCCTCGCCGACTCTGAGGGAGACCGCAGGCATGCGTCCTCATGCCCATTTCACAGATGCACAAAGCGAGGCTCAAAAAGGTGCAGAAACCAGGCAGAGGCAGTCCTGATGCACTCTTTCTAAAACCCAGACTAGCAAGACAAATTTCCTGCCACCATGCCACCAAGGAACAAATGCCACGTGAAAATGTGGTCTAAAAATACAGAGCCACAACTCCTACGCTCCTCAAAAAGATCTCCTACTGGGTGGCCACAGGAAAAGCTCCAAGGTCACATCACATCAAAAATAGCCTAAGCTTGGACTGGGCTGGGGCTCAGTGGCAGAGCGCTTGCCTCACACATATGAGGTACTGGGTTTGGTCCTCAGCACACATAAAAATAAATAAATAAAATTAAGGTAGTGTGTCCATCTGCAACTAAAAAAACAATTAAAAAAAAATAGCCCAAGTCTTAAAAAAAAAAAAAAAAAATAGGCCCTCCTTGCCCGCCCAGGTTACCTGAGTTAGGGAACCACGGCAGTCTCCAAGACATGGACCAGAGAGAACAAGTGAGAAACTGGAAGACACAGAGCAACCTTCTGTTCCCTTCCCCGGAGCCAAGAAATGTGGTCGTACCAGGCGCAGTGGCACACACCTGTAATCCCAGCGGCTAGGGAGGCTGAGGCAGGAAAATCCCAAGTTCAAAGCCAGCCTCAGCAACTTAGCAAGGCTCTAAGCAACTCAGTGACACCTTGTCTCTAAGTAGGGCTGGAGACCTGGCTCAGTGGTCGGGTGCCACTGAATTCAATCCTCGGTATCGCCCACATTCCCCCCCCAAAAAAATAAAGCAATGGTGCAGCAACAGTCGGGGCAACAGGCGCATAGAACCCAGAACGTAGCTCACTCCACCTAACCACTGGGCCAGAGTGGAATTAGAAGAGCCACTGGTCAAACCGCTGCTGTGGTTAGATGGGAAGCTGAGGGATGCAACAGGTCATGAGGCTGATGTATCTGAACAGCCTCAGAGGGTGGCTTTGGCTAGGAGCTGAGGCCTCTGGCGGCACCCCCACCCCCACAGCCTGCCTTGACTGGTATGCTCCGCACATGGGTGGGCTCTCAAAAGACCCTTTATGAGACATGCAGCTCCAGGGCAATCCAGTCTCCGCCAGGCAGAAAGGTCACAGAAGTCATGATCTACCCAGAAGATGAACAGCCCACCTGTGTCCTGAATCCTCAGGTGGTGATGTGAAAATTGAGGACAAAACTACATGATACACATTTTTAAGTCAAAAAGATTCCAGCCAACTTGAATAACCAAACTCGCTAAGGACATTTCCGTGGTCTCGGAGTCGGAGAGAGCAAGTGTACATACAAAAAGGATCATGACCTCAGGAGAAAACTGAAGGTGCCTATGTCTTCCACCTTCTAGCAGGCACTGCAAGAAAGGGCAGCTGAGAATCAGCCTCTGTCTTTACTGGAACCACATCTGGGCTTCGTCAAGAGGCAAGGCGTGGGGCTTTCAGGACGAGTTCCATCCCCTTGGTGCCGTTTCATAGCTGAATTCTAAATAGACCCTAGCTCAGTTAACCGATCACTGTATTTGCTAAGCCCTTGAGGTCAGGTTTCCGCAGAAACTAAGGAGTTAAAAGCCAAGAACGTCACGATCAAAATGTGCCCCCTGATGGCCTATTCCCTAAAATTTCTGCCAAGACTGAACACTGATGGCAAAAATCCAAACAATGAGTTAAGATTCAAATTCCAGAGTTTACTATTGTTGTTTAAACAAATGTTTCTCAAACTCCAAGAATGCACCAACAGATCCCTTTTAAAGGAAAAGCACTGTCTCCAACCTGAAGGCATCTGTGGATTCCGGTTTGAGAAACTGGCTAAGGCATAGATACTTGATGTCATTAGGTAGCTTTAAGAGACTCAGAACAAAAGGCAACCTGTGTTACATGAATTCAAGCAACAACAAACTTTTATGACACTACTCTGCAGGCCTTTGCCAAGTCTAATTAGGCAAAAATAGAAGAGACAGAGTCCAGATTTCAGAACAGCATGCCTCTAAAACCCCCAAGCCAGAATCTGTAAGGGACACAAATAGCTTCCTCTTGCACCAGCCTTGAACTTCTTCAAAGATTTTTCAAAATAAAAGAGTAACAACCACCAAAATTCCTATAATGCCTTTCCTTACAGTCTTGACCTTGTTCCATTGTACCTCCTGAACAGTTCTTAGAACCACAGCTGCTCCTTTGCCCATCTGCAAAGGTGAGACAGCCAAGACCCCAGGAACCTGGTGCTCACAGCGTCAGTGAGGATCCAGGGCTGGGTCTGCACTCAGGGCACCAGACCAGCAGAGCTGAACCTCTTCCAGAAAAAGGACTCCTCAATAAAGGCTGACGTGTCCCTCATTGTACAACATGGAGAAGAGAAGAAAAAACTATTCTACTAACTGTTGGGTAAGAGGCAACCATGTATTCAGAGACAGTCTTAAATGAATTTTTCATTAACAGCATCTAGGGCAAGAAAGAAAAAAGTTGTATGTGTGTGTAAGACCAAATATTTTCTCAGCAAAGAAACAAGAAGCTTAAAACGGGGACTCCAACGGCCCCTGTGGCCCAGGGTAACACCACCCAACAGTGAGCTACCCAGGGCCTTGGAAAGGTGCACAATTGACTTGGGCCCAAGGCAACCTGAACAGGGAGAAGGGAAGAGTCCCCCCCACAACTGGCCTGCCTTGCCATTGATGCAACTGAAATCCAAGCCTTAAAGCAATTCTAGGGAGACAGTCACTCAGGCAGAAATAGAAGCAAAAGCCTAAAAAAGAGCCTAAGTTAATGTGGAATGCCAGTGGTCACTCCACGTCTCCACGTCCCATACTGATAGGAAGAGCAGGGCTGTGGGTGAACCCCACAAGCATTCAGAAATCTCCTGCGTTAGCCTTGAACTTCAGAGAATGAGCTTATTTTTTGGATCACTTTCAAAGCAATCTTTTAATTTCAATAATACATTTCATTAGGAAAGTGAAAACGTTTGGATGCCAGTTTGGAAGCTGCTGAGGCTCTTTCAGGCTCAAGAAACAAAAACAGTTCAGTGTGGCAGGACTTCTGATGACCATCTGAAAAGCAGGTCATAAACGGCTCACCCACACCCCCCCCCCACCCAACCACAGAACATGGGCGAAAACTCCCGATTTTCTCAGTCACCTAGTAGTCTAACAAGCTAACTAATGAATATTCAATAACTTAGACAGAACTGTCCATCAGCCACACAATGACACAGAAGTGAAGAAATATCCCTCTAATGTGCTGGCCAGGCAGGCGGGGTTAATGCCCATCTTACCCAGAACAAACACAAATTTCTTATAAACAGTTTTATAATTACTTTTCCTAACTTTGTCCATCCCTCCTCCAAAACAGCCTTCTCTCAACCCCAAAGACTATAGAACCCTATTTATTTGTTATTTTTATTTTTTGGATATGCATGTTTTAATTGGTCATTCCTAATCTGAGAGAACCAAGTTAGCCTGATGGACATTTTTTTTGATGTTTTTATTGGTACATTTAGTCATACATAACAATGGGGTCATTTTGACATGATCAAAGAGGCATGGAATCCGATTTGTTCCATTCCAGGCCTTCAGTACTTCCCCCTCCTTCCTTCTCCCTCCCCTGTCCCCTACCCTCTATTCTATCTTAGACCCCAGGTTGGAAGACGGGGTAAGACATGGATCACCCTCACCAACACACCTAGTGGTCCTTAGGTAACAGACACGAGCGACCCAGGAGATAAGAGAACACTCTTTCATCCCCTCCTCTTGTCACTAACCAACCCAGCCCTGCATCTCTCAAGACATGTCTAACATTTATTCCTCCTTCTAAAATGCGACAGTGGCTCTCTAAATGTGGCCACTGTCACAGCAGGGCCTGGTCACTGCTCCCCATTCATCCTGCCCTCTATGCAGCCTACCTCCGGCGGGGTCCTGAGATACTATTTCCCTTTCTGCACTTCCCTACCCAAAAGCCTCAGGTGGCTTCCCACACTCCCCCAGGAGCTAAAGCAGCACGACTCTCCAGACCCTAAGTAATAGCTCTCAACTGTTTTCCAACTAATTCTGGCCCCAAATCAGAACAGAAGCACTGGGACCAGCATCCGAAGCCTCCAGCAATCAAACTCTGCATGCTGGTCTTGCTTCTAAGCATCAGAGTCACATGGAGCTGGGTTTGAATGCAGCCCTCACCCAGGACTGGGGCCACAGGAACCAACCTCTCT